CATGTGATTATTTTGCTACATGGTCTGAGGTCATTTCGTAGAAAAAGAGATGCGGGAGCTCATTAGCATAATTTTTAGCGTAACTTATTTGCATATGCCACACTGGAAGTGTGTCAGAAGGCAACACCCACCACTCAGGCTCCACTGGACTCTTTTGGATTGCTAGCTATTGGGGGGGAACGTGCAGATCTGCCTCACAGAGGAGGGAGAGCTTGTACCTGAATAAAACTTGGTCTTAAAGGTGCCACTGGACTCCTCTGGATTGCTAGCTATGGGGGGGGAGCACACAGATCTGCCCTCACAGAGGAGAGAGAGCTTGTACCTGAAGGCGGGCTGGGGGGGGGCTCTGCAACTTACCTGGATGCTTCTTGCTCCTTGTGGCCTGACTGAGAGCTACTGGGAGCAGGGGGCGGGGCTTGTTGCATGTGCCTACCCCCTGGGTTCCTTACTGCCGGAGCTCCGCTCCTGTGCGCTCCTGCAGAAAATGACCCCTGTTCATAGTTAATCCGGGGCTGAGTTTCCCAACCCGGAGCTGGCAATCCTACGTAACAGCTCAGGAGAAACCTGGGTGGGCCAAAGTCCCCAGGGAGACTGCAACAGACAGCCTAGCCCGGAGCATATGTGCTCTCTGACGCAAGTGGCGAACCCACCATGTGTAGAAACTGTGCCAGTGACAGGTCTCGAGGAGACCTTTGGTGCCCCCTTGCTCCCTGGGGCGGGCCCCTGCTTGAGCAGCAGCAACAGCGCACACTTTGTACACCCTGGCAAAGAACATTAAAACAATAAGCACGTTTGGCCAAACCCCTTGACTGTGGCTCACACGTACCTTCTGAAAGTGGGGTATGCGCCAAAGCTGCTCTGTCTTCATTGGAGGCTGGAACTTCCGGAGCAGACTTGTGTATGTTTCGTACACTTTCCCTTTGCGTTTCTAAAGGCAAACAGCAGAAGTTATGAGGCTGCAACCAGGAGGCCTCTCAATGGAAACATTGGGTGATTCTGCATCTGGCATTTGCTTCACATTTTCTCAACTGGGAGGGAAAAGTGCAGCTTAAAACCACATTCAAATAACCTGTCTGGGCCAATGCCGTACTGACTGCAAAGTCAGGGCCGGGCCCAGCTTATTTTGCACCCTAGGCGAGGATCCCTTCTGGCGCCCCCCCCCCCCCACCCCGGCCATTTTTCAAAA